TCGTTTTTAACCGTCCTCAACAGTCATTGTTTATGAACAACATTCGTTTTTAATTGTCTCAGTTTCGTTCTGAGGGATAGAAATCAATCATTTCGTTAATCAATTTCTCCTTGTCGTAACTATTTTTCTTTCTAGGACCTCTATTTTCTTCTGGTGACACATTGACCAGACAAATTTAAAAGTTTATAAAACAGTCATTTAAATATGTTGTCGACAACCCACTCGTACAGTCGTTAAATATAAACAAATCGTTATAAATACATTCGTATACTGTCGTGAACAATCTGATTTCAATTCGATTACTAATCGTCCATTATCCGAAGAAATTGAACAGTCATAGATAAAATTCTGAATTTTCCAGATGATTATCGTTCCTTCGATTGGATCAGAAAACAAATTTCTGTCAATTTTTCTTGGAATATTCAGAGTTAAAATTTGTGTCAAGATCCACTGGGTATTAACTTCCCAACGCTATCGAACGTCGCCGTCAACTGGATTTGACCCTTTCTCCGCACTTATCCATTCGTATTCAAGTGAATTTCACCTTAAAAACAAATCGTTAAGTAAATTTCAAAATAAACATTTGTCAATTGACACAATCAAGAAAAACTGTCATTTAATAATTTTTGTGCTTCGAAGATAGTCTGCTCCTAAATCATTAAAACAGAACACGTGCTAAAATAATTTGGAACTGATTCGTTTTTCCAACCCTCGTTACTGTCGATTGTTACGAAAAACAAACCTAGTTGTTTAAGTTTTTCGGGAATGAACACAACTCCGTCCAAAAAGAAACAACCCAGATAAGCGGATTCATGTGTCTTAGAATTTCACAAATAAATTCTCAAGAGTTTATAACTCCTCGTCAGTAAATACTGTCATAATAAAACAAAACTTTTCGTTAAAATATAAACTTTCGTTTGTAAAACTGGTCCTTCTCTCGTTTTGTAGCGTTTTATTTTTAACGACGTCAAGCAATAATTAAGTATTAACTTAAATATTTGTTTAAAAAGTACTTTTTGATAAACTATATAGTTATAACAAAATCATCAAAATATAGTAAAATAAATTCGTCACACTGTATACTCGTTAAATATAATCACTTTCGTATTTTAATTCTTTTCTTCAAAAGAATTTTTCACACAGTCGGACAGTCGTAATATTTTTCAGCTGGAACATCGTTTCATAAACATGTATATAATTTAAACAGAAATTATTTGTGCACTATATTTTATTTTTGAATTTTATATATCGATATTTATTTTTTTTATTTTCTAATACATTACCACCATCAATTAACTAGTTATTTAGTTCCTTAACAGTCGTTAAATAAATTTGATTTCTTGTATCATTCGTTAAATAAAATATGAAACAAGACAGTCAACTTTTAGGTTAACTCTTTCATTCGTTAAAAATTTACTTTTTTTATTTTCACTTGTTATTTAATTTGAGGTTGGAATTGTCACTGGACACAACCATCAAATATTCGTCATTAAAACAGTCATCTACTAGAGCTTAACCATATATATCTAGTGTTAAAACTGTCATTTACTGTAAATATTATTCAACACCAAAACAGTCGTATTTATTTTATTCTGAAATTAAAGACTGTCATCTAGCGGACAATACACTTACCAAACCACAACGGATAAGGTAGAAAATTTACTGACCAATAGTCAAATTTTTTTTTTTTTTTTTTTTTTTTTTTTTATGCACAATTTCGTTCACAAATCGTTTAATTTAATTATTATATTAATATTTTTTACTTTGATCATACACTCGTTAATTAAATTTAAAGATATTTAGCAAATAAAATGCAATGAAATAATAAACTCGTTAGTTTAAAATATCTTTTCTCGAGAATTAAGCTATTCGTGAATTATAGGTTATATATACTGTCGTTCATCGAAAACTTCAACAAGCTAATTTTTATTTATATAAAAATTAAAAACAGTCATTAAACTGAATTCCAACTGTCGTCAAACAAATTTCGATTATTGAAATGTAAAACATTTTACCCACTCAAACCATTCGTTCCACCTTTTGCAACCCAAATTCCTGTCGTTAACAGTCGTCAAAGAAAATATCTTTTTGGAATGTGCTTTCTTGTTTGCACAGAAAGTGGCCAACGCACAGAGCGTCTATTCGTTCTCGAGTACGTACTCTCCTTATTGTCGACATTTTTAATGAGTCTCTTTCATATCTTCGCACACTTCGTTCCAAATCGTTTGAACCCTCGTTACAGTTCTGGGCACATACAAATCGTTAGAATCCTCGTTACAGTTCTGGGCACACACAATATCACAATGGCTTCCGCGCGACAAGCCAAGGACGCCGCGAGCACGCCAAACGCGACCAACAGAATTTTGGACAATTCTTACCGAATGCTACATCCAGCGCAGTCGAATCGTTGCTGGGCCCATAACCTGTCGGCATGCAGTTTATTTAGGGCAGGATGTAGTCAATAAATAACACGGAAATAAGGATAAATACGGTCGTTTATTGGGAGCTCGTTGACGATCGAGACGTTCACGGTCGAAGCAAGAACAAGAAGTAGGAAGGAGTGCGTGCGCATACGGTTGTGACGTAAGAGCAACTACTGACAGAGTCAAGCGAGATATAAGCGCGAATATACAATTATTCCAACAATTATTAAAATGTAACTAAAAATGAAAAAGAAACTTCTTGGTTTTTATAATAAGTAGCGTTTGAATTTTTTTTCAATATTAATATATATTTTGATCTTCCTTTATGTATAAAGGAAAAAGGTTTCTATTTTTTTTTTTTTTTTTTGGGAAAAATCCTTCCGCTAACTGTTAAATATTAAAAGAAGGGAAATTGCTTTTAACGAGCGTGTTGGGTATCGTTATGATCCAAATACCGTTGCCTTTAGCCCATGCCATGGAAGTGAAACAAAGTATATCGTGTTCTACCTTTATCAACTGTGTGCATAATGGACGTCTGGGGTCATAACTCGTAGTAGCGTTTTAATATTATCCAACGTTCGTATTAAGGGCAAAATTTATAGGGCAAGTTTCCATAAACTTCTTTGGATATCCTTTTAAGTGCGCGCAAGTATACGAAACAAAAGAAATTTTCAAATACATTTTCACTGCGGGCTCTTGAACTTCAAGTTAGCTTCTCGTTTATTCTATAAAAGAGGAGTCACACAATTCTTCTTTTTTTTTTTTATTAGCTATAGTATAACAAATTTTCATATTAAAAATTTTTTATATCAACTTTAAGGAATTTTTATTTGATAAATATATTAAAAAATATGTTTAAATAAAAATTTAATTTTTTTTTTAAATTACGATGCTGGGACAATATGTCGTTAACTACTTTTGCCGTTATAGGTAAACATTATAATCGCCAATGAATTTATAATTTATGTTTCCCCTGGAATTAAAATTTCTACTAGGATTAAATAAACGGAGTCATGTTTTGCGCATTTAAAGTTTTTTTTGCTATTTTATGTATAATAAGCTTCAATTGCAAAAATGTTTGAAAATTGTTTCCAACTTTTTTCATTTAATCTTCTTTGATGTGATCTGTTTTTTCTTCTTTATGAAACAATACTCGAGTATAAAAGTTGTGTATAGGAAGATATTAGGAGGTTGTAATAAAAAAAAAATGAGACACTTTTTTTTATTTCTTTTTAATCGGTGCGAAAACCGTCTTTATTAAAAACATCTCTCCCTTGATGCATAGTTTCAAACGTCTTAAAAATTTAGATACTATATTTATATTGATTCGCACTTGATCTTATACACATTCGTTCATTATACATGCTGATATTTTTTATCAGAAATTTTTTTTTTTTCAAAAAACTAAATTTGAAATTATTTTCAAATATACAGAATGTTGTAAACAAATTTTTTTCTCATTCATATAGATATTTCTTAATATAATTTACAGTAGAACCTCTGTTGAATTAGTATTTCTTTAACGCTTATTATAAAATTTTCTAATATTAACTTTGTTTAATCAATATTAATTAATTAATTAATTATTAATTAATTAATAATATTAATAATTATCAATTATTGATTTAATTAGGTTTAATTAATTATTACAATAATTGATTAAAAATAATTAATATTGATTTAAAAAAAAGTTATTGCATTTGAATAACTCTATAAATAAAAATTAGTTAAAAATAATTTCTAACTAATTTAAATTCTAGAGTGAATAATATAAAGATTTCAGATATATATTTTCGAGAGGTTGTACTGTAATTATCTACAATTAACTAACTTGAAAGCTGATTATTTCTTAATCTTTGATTTCATTTTTATACATATGTATATTTTTTTTTCGAAGAAATTATCGATCAATTTGTACAGAATCAGGAATTTTGCAAACAAAAAATTTTTCAGAATTTAAACTTTCAGTTCTAAAACTTTGTACAGTCAGCAAATATTTGGGATTTAATATCGATTTATAATGGATTTTGTACAATTGATAGTAATTAACAATTTATAGACTTCGCTTATTATATACGCTCTCCAAGTAGAAAACATACATACCCATTATTATATATTTTTTTAACAAAAAAGAAATTACTTTTTTTTTTTTTAAATCGAAAATTTTTTTAAAAAAGCGTTTAGAATTATTATTTAAATATAAAAAACATGTTTGAAATAATTTTTCAAACAATTTAATTGTTTGAAATTTAATTTCAAAGGAATAATTTTTTTCATATTGAAATTTGAGCCTAAAGGCGGATTATAATTTATTTATAATATATTTATAAAGAGAGAGTTGATCTTTGTTTCTCATCAAAAATTGTAAAATAAACTATTTTTGTTATACAAGTATATATATATATATATAAATAAAAGATGACATATATAACGGTGATCGTAAAAAATGTCGTATAAAATGTTAAATTGTCTTTTGGTGTGTTTGGTTACTGTAATTTTGGAATTTAATCACTTAATCTAGAAAACCATTTCGCACGGTCTTTCTTTGGGTTGTAATTTCTACAAGGATATATATAGAGGGGTTTTGGTTGTGGAGAAAAGGTGTTTTTAGTGTTTTCTCGTGCGGATTTTCAGAATAGAAGGAACATTCGTAGGATGCGCGACCCCATAAACATAAAAATCTTCGCGTACTCGGAATTTCAAGCATTCGGACTTCCATGCATTCTTTATCTCATTTCAACATTCTTCGACTCTCTTCTTTTATTTTCTTTTCTTTTTTATTTTTTTTCTACATTTTCACGTTTTGTGCATTTATAATCAGGTGGCAATGCTGATTTACCAATTAGTGTCCCAAAAGCAGTAAAAGCATCAGGGTTTTCTTTGGTAAAAAAAAATTACACAGTCTTTTTCTCAATATTAATTATTTAAAATAAAATTAAAATTTTTAATGGAAAATTAAAAACTTTTTTTTAATTTTAGAAAACCCTGTAGACTTTTTATGAAATATTTGTAATTTTAGTGATTCTAGATGGGTTATTTAAGTACAAATGAACATCGAGAGGTGAATTTTACGCTTAATAATAATTATGTTTATACAAATGCCTTAATCAGTGAATTAAAGCAGTGTTTGGCTTTTATCATCTTTTTGAGAATCTCGTCTCGGCGTCTTTTAAGAAAGGAGCGACTTTATCGGGCAAAGGGAAATCCACTTTCTCGGATTAACTTTCCGTAAGACTTTATAAAGTTAATTTTCCCTTTTAAACTATAATCTTTCTTTTTTGTTAATAAAAAATGTGATTAAAAAAAACTATTTTGAATAATCTTTAGAATATTTTATTTTCATTAGAATTGAAAAAAAATTGATACTACAACGAGTTCGACTCGAGTTTCAATAAATCCGAGAAATACGATTAGTAGGTGAATTTCTTTGCTTCATGTTATAGAAGAAAATTGATGAGAAACTGGAGAAATAATAAAATAATAATAAAAACGCGAAGGGGAGGGAAAAAGACATGATTTCGATTCTGATGGAATTTATGTAGCTATTTTCGATTCGAGATACACGTCTTTTAGTGTGAGAGTTGCGAGTATAGAGGATTTCGAGAAATAGAGATTTCAGATTGGAGATTATATGGCATTGCTATATAGGGCACAACTGGGACTTATATAGGAAATTCGATAAACGTTTCATATAGAATTTCTTGTTCGATCATTGAAAGCTTCATCTTATGGATCACTGGACAGTCTTTTAATATTATAACGACAGTAATCTCGACCAATGATGTCCTCTTTGGGAATCTCTTCCTCCAATGGCTCCATACCTTCATCTGCCATTTGATCTCTTACCTGTAAGAATAGTCATTGATTTTCAATTTAATTTTTTATTTTTAAATAATTTTTTCTTTTTATTATTTTTTAAACTGAATTTACAATTAAATTTTATTTTTTTCATAAGTTTAATTTGTGGCTTTATTACTGTGTGTAATTCCACGTATATCTATATCGACCATACACTGATTGTTACAAATTGTCCTTTTTTTTTGCCCCCCCCCCCCCTCCCCCTTCTTGTTGAGAAAAAAAGTCGCACACACTGGTTAGGGATTTTTGTGGTAAAAAATCGCACTCGTTTCTATTTAAGTAAAAAAAAAAAAAAAAAAATAGGAAAAAAAATCGCTGTTCGCGTATATCACGCGTGCTCTCTGTACGAGGGGGCCATCAATTTTAGGTAAGCCCATTAACCTCTTCCGAGCGTAACTCGTCCAGAAGTAGAGGAATCGTGTGTGGAGTGGGAAAGTGCAGGAAAAGAGTGCCGAGCGTGTGCAACCGATGTCTACACCTTTTTTTTTCGTTTAGAATAATCAATATCTATATGCATATATATAGACCATCTCTTGTATAATCTCCCGAACGATTTAAAGTCAACACATTTGCATATTTTCTCTTTTTTTTTTGGAAAATAGAGAAAAATGCCTTTGAAAATTACTAGTTGTATTTCAATTTTATGTTACTTTCATTATTATTTAAAGTCCGTTTAGATATTTTCTATTCTTTCCACATTAAAAAAAAATTTTCTTTTTCAAATTTACTTTAATTTAAATTTTTTTTTTCTGAGGATCTCAAATTGAGACCATAAATTGTATCAAAAATTGTTGATAATGCAACGTTTTGATGCTGTTTATGGTCTCAATTTAAGAACTTCAGAAAACTGTGATTAAAATTTATTGATGAGAACGTTATTAATTGTGACAGAATGTGTCGTGTTACAAAAAAAATTTTTTTTTTAGTTCAAAGGTTTTTTTTTTTATGTATACAGCTTTATAAATATCGCATAAACTGAATAATTGGCCTCTGTATGGATATGTACTGAAATATTAAAAGGATACATTTTTCATGAAAGAATATAAATTCTTTTTTTTTTTTGCGTGAAACTGAAAAACACAAATATTACATTATGGAAGAATTGAGTGCGAAGTTAGGTATACATGAACCTTTTAAAATTATATGGCTATTGACAAAATTTTTCATGCTTTTAAAGTTTTATTTTTAACGTAAATCTGCATTGGCACTTTTAACGTATATCTTTTTTAAAGCTTTTTATTTAAAAAAAAAAAAACTTACTATGAATAAATAACATAAAAAATGAGATATGCTTTTATGAGTAATATTGCGTTTGTTGTGTTATATTTTTAATATTTAACTTTTAATAGAAATAAAATTAAAGAACGAATGGTTTTTATAATATAAATAAAAATCAGAATAAAACTAAGTAAAAATAAAAATCAGAATAGAAATAAATAAAAATAATTAATAAATAATAATTAATTTTAAATTTAATTAAAAGTGTAAGGAAAGAAAATTTTCAAACATTAATGTATCCTTTTATGTTTTTAATGTGTGTGTATGCAATATTTATAAATGTATATAGAACATTTAAATTCCGTTTTAATTAAGCTCGAGTCAATAAATTTTTGATTTGTAATTAAAATACGTTCTTTGAAACAAAAAAAGTAATTACGTTTTCACAATAAAAAGTTGAAAAAGGGATATTAATGGACTTCTTTTATATAATAGAAGTAACAAATTTGAAATAGCATTATTGTACTATATATATATAGAGGAAATTTAGTTCAGGGTTTCTGCTCAAAGGTCGACATTGGGGATTTCAATTATATAAATGGCTGCCCAATTTCTCTGGAAAATTTAGTTGACAATAAAGGTTTAAAAGGTAGATTAAATATAATGTACGAATTATTATTATTTAGAAGAGTTTTTATCTATTTCTTACTTAAGCTTATTTTAATGATTCTATAAAATTATTTCAATTTTGGAATATTTTTTTTTTTCGTGTGTATGAAAATTAAATTGATTTTATTTTCTTTTATAAATGAAATAAACAAATTTCTTCGAATTAAAATAATGCTCAAGACAGTAGATTTACCTAAGTGCAGAGCTTACGCACATGAACAATACATAAATTCATGGAGCAACCCATTTGTCGTGGTAGACAAAGCATTCTCACTATCATGCTGAGGAAGAGGCTGAAAGCGATACGCAAGCCGCACATTGTGCTCCATCATCCTACGTGTGAGCTTGCTATTCACGTGCGAACATGCACGTGAAGTTTGTGCAGATTGCGTTGTGAAAATTTTTGTCTAATATTTGTTTCTACAGAACTTTTATTTAAAAATATAATATACAATGCAACGAATACAATTTCTGTTTGCAGCCCTTCTATATATACGCATTCATATTTCGCATATTGATCAAAAGAATTTAAGTTGAAAATAGTTTTTATTTTGAAATTTTTTTCCTATAGTGATTAAAAAATATTCCAAAAAATTGAGAATTCTGAAATTAAGAACAATTCGTACATTATTTGTTATAATATATACTAGCTGTCTAAGCGCGCCTAAATTTAATAACAAAACATGCTTTACAATAATTGTTAAAGTAAAATTGTGTGAATATAGAAATTAATAAATAAATAGTAATATAGTAAATAATTGCATTGAAACATTCATATATTTTCAAAGTTTGAATTCATTTCATGTCACATATTTGTAATTTTTACAAAAACTGTAAAGAATTTTTGTTGTTTTTATTTGAAAAAATTTAGAATAAATTTATAATTTAAAAAACAATTGTTAAACAACACTGAATTTTAAAAAAGTATGTAAACATTACTTAAAATTGTTAGGTATACAATAAAAAGAGAACAAAATTTCGAAAATATTTTCAACAACACAGATCTAGAACTAAACGAGAACAAAGTTCTATAATCTTCTCTCTAAATCTGAATTAGTAAAAATGTTTACTAATTTGAATTAGTGACTCACTTTTTGCTTCTGAATTAGTAAAAGTTTACTAATTATTAGTAACTTTTACTATTAGTAAAATTAGTAATTAGTAAAATTTAACTAATTCAGAAGCAAAAAGTGAGTCACTAATTCAAATTAGTAAACATTTTTACTAATTCAGATTTAGAGAGTTTGCGATTAAAATGTTCTAAAATAATTACAGAACATTTGTTACAGAAAAATTCCAGAACAAAATTTCAGAACTTTTCTGTAACATAATTGTATCGTTCTAGAACTCTGTTACTCCTTTGTTTTAGAATAGTTACATAAATTTATTGGTACAAATATTCTAGAACTATGTTCTTTTCATATTATAGAATAATTGTGGAATGTGTTCATTGGGCAGTTATCTTTTTCTTTAAAAATACAAAAATACATAAAGTTTTACTGAATAATTATAATTGGAATAGTTTTGGAATTTTTTGGATGTATACATATATCACGTTTCATGGGAGGTTTGCCATCTTCGCTAACAAATACAGCAGCTACTTCGTTACAATGCGGAATATTTAAAGTTTTATTATTTAATAATTTATCACGTTTAATCTACATTTCAATATCTCTTATAGGCTTCTCTATTAAAGCCGCTCGCTTTTCTTCTTCAATCTCAAAAGATCGCATAAATGCTTCAGCATATGGATTAATTTTTCGAAGTAAAATATCTAATTCCAAAAATAATTTTGGCAAACTATTATTATATTTATTATTTAACCTTTCCTGAATAGCTTCACTTGTATCAATTATATACAACTGACCGAATCTACGTCTATCATCTTGATTTGGATGAAGAGAATATGTATTATGATAGATCTGACCGTATATACGAAAAAGATAAGGCCCCTTCCCTTTTGGAACTTCTAATTGAGTTTGTTATAATATATATATTACAAATTGGTAGAAATTTTTGTATAGGTATCAAAAAAAAATTGAGAATCTACTTTATAAATATTTAGTATTGTGTTTGTTTACCTGTTCCACTGCTTTGAAGACACGAATTAAATTTAAGCCAGCCAGTTTTTGAATGTCTCTTTCCGACCAGCCTTTCGCAAGTAATTCGGCAAATAATTCAGGATATTTGCTGACATCTTCTAAACCAGTTGGTGTTCTAAAACAGAATGCCATTACTACATTAATTTAAATTTAATTCTCAACGGTGTATTTTGTAAGGATAGTATACAATAATAATATTATTCCAAGAGTCTTATTCTGTCTGACCGTATATTGTTTTACTCTATTGTGAAAATGTAATTTGTTTTAATGGTACTTCGAAAATTAATATCTATATACATACACATTTAAGTTTTAGTTCTGTTATCATCTTCATTTGAGTTTCAACATTTTCCAAAATGTGTTTCCATGTTTAAATTAATTTGCGTTGAAAATGAAAATTTTCTCTTTAAATTAATTTAAAGAGAAAATTTATTCTTTTGTCATTATGAAAAAAGAATTTAAAATTTTTGTTTTTATTTTCTTATTTTTCAAAGATTATTTTCTTATATAGTGTAACGATACACGAAATGAATCTGCCGTTTGATATTAAAACAGTTGAGGAGTGAGTTAAGCTCTCGTTTATTATAAACGGTTTAAGAAATTGACAGTGTAATCGATAGAAACATGAAATGAGTTTCGAAGCGAAAAATAACGTTAAAAATTTTGTACTATTTAAATAAAATATCCACTGGAATTTACATTTCTCTGCAATTTGAAAAAAATATGAATCGTTAAAATTTAAACTAATTAAATTTACATTTCGTTTCCTTTCGCGTGAATTCCGTTATTCTATATTAAAAAAAAAAAATCATTTAGCGACACTTTTTCTTTTATATAATATTGGACTGGAGAATTAATAATGTGCTTTCTCATATGAATTTTATTTTTAATAGCTGACTGAATAGAAATGGTAGCTTTTGTCTCGTAGTTTCAAATGCGCGTAACTTCACAACGGTTAGATATTAAAGTTTCATGAATGGTCGTGAAGAGAAAGAGAGAGAGAGAGGGAGAGACCAAGTGATGAGGCAGTAGATTTTGTAAATGTGTTGGTGCGTGTACGATGAATTTGGTTAATGTTTGTTATATGTGCGCAGCAGTAAGGCATGAGTTGGTTTTGGAAACAGCGTTGGCATATATACTGAAATTTGGCTAAACTTGGTTGTGTGTGACGACATATCCTTCGCTGCGAGTTTCAGGGTTTCATGTTGTATGCTTTAGAATCGATTTTGGCTTGAGGTCTCGTGGTGGAAATGGGGACTTATTCATGGCATGTCGTGATTGAATTTGACAGTTATGTGCGACTACTTGTATTTATCGAGTGTCTGTGGTTTGTGTCCCTCAATCGTTTCTATAAATAGACTAAACACAAATTATCCACTGTATATGTAGGGAGCCATTAATGATCTTTACTGTTCAAAAATTTAAAGGCCAACTCTACGTATGACATATGAATGATCCCTATTCTCTAAGTGGGAAATACAAATTCCTGATATTTTGGTATTGAGCAAAACTCAATTATATCTAAAGTTTATCTAATTTCTTTAGAAGAAAGTTTTTTTGTTTTGAATATATGTGTGCTTTTAAAATAGAAAATGGAAAATATTTTAGAATTGATTTAACTTTTATATTCTTAATCTAAAGAGTATAAAAACTCGATTAACTTTTCTTCCATTATTCTCTACTGCGATCACACATTTTCTTGTCATAGAAATGAAATTGAAGTTCTCTCGTTTATATTAGTTAATGTTATGCGAATGTCCATTTACTTAACCACTCTTTTATAAAGTCGTTCCTTTTTTTAACCTTCTTATTCTTATTCGAGACGGAAAAGATAGAGCTAACGAGATGAAGTGAGTTAAAGGGAAACTGAAAGCTCTTATCCCAGTGAAATCCTATTCGGACCTTCTACCACCCGGAAAAGGAGGGATGTATTTCATTATTTCCCAGAAGAAAAAGTAGGTCAAATAGGTTGTGCAAAGGTTTGTGGAACAGGAATATATATATATAGGAGAGAATTGGTGTGAGATATAAAGATCGTTGTGTGACTCTAGATTTTCAAAGTAGTTGTAGAAGATGAGAGAGAGAGAGAGAGACACGCGCACATGCTCAATAAGCTTTTACGTGAGATTAAAATTCATATTACAGTGTAAGGGCTGGTGGTTGGGGCATTATTGCTATAAGTCTGAATGTAGGGGTACCTTGGTCGGTTCACTTACGGCGAGAGAAGTAGGTGGGTATATCTAAGGCCGACACAGGACTTTAATGTAATAATTACCATTAATTATCCTCGACCCTTCTCTCTCTCACTCTTTGCCTGCTTCTGACCTTTCCAGACATCGTATAATGTTCTCCAATATTGCACTTGTGAATTCCTTCACAACCAGTCTTTCCCGACAAGAGATTCTGCTGTGAAAATTGGGTTACTCAAAAAGATGAAAGTGCTAATGTGACAAGGAATTTTCATAGAGAAAGATATTTATCTCTATAAGAAGTTGTTATTTTTTTTACTATAATTTTGGACATGTCGTTTTTCATTATTAGGAATAGGAAAAAGTAGTTTTCAGTTTTGTATAAAGTACGGATTTTACAAAGTACGGATTTTACAAATTACGGTTTGTACAAAGTGCGGATGGTACAAAGTACGGATTGTACAAAAAACGGATTGTACAAAGTGCGGATGGTACAAAGTACGGATGGTTCAAACTACGGATTTTACAAAGTATGGATTTTACAAAGTACGGGTGGTACAAAGTACGGATTGTACAAAGTACGGATTTTACAAAGTACGGATTTTACAAAGTACGGATGGTAGAAAGTACGCATTGTACAAAGTACGGCTGGTAGAAATTACGGATGGTACAAAGTACAGATTGTACAAAGTACGGATTGTACAAATTACGGATGGTACAAAGTACGGATTGTACAAATTACGGATTGTACAAATTACGGATGGTACAAAGTACGGATGGTAGAAAGTACGCATTGTACAAAGTACGGTTGGTACAAATTACGGATTGTACAAAGTACGGATGGTACAAAGTACGGATGGTACAAAGTACAGATTGTACAAAGTACGGATTGTACAAATTACGGATGGTACAAAGTACGGATGGTACAAAGTACTGATGGTACAAAGTACGGATTGTACAAATTACGGATGGTACAAAGTACGGATTGTACAAAGTACGGATGGTACAAAGTATAAATTTCATATATTACGGATTGCATAAAGTATAAATTGTACAAAGTACAAATGGCATAAAGTATAAATTGTATAAAGTACAAATTTTATAAATTACAGATTATATAAATCTCCCTTTCCTTAAATAATGAAATATTTTAATACTTCTAAATACGATTGTAATAAAATATTTTCCAAGTCTATAAAACTGATCATTCAAATATTAACTTAGTAAACTAGTTTCCTTTGAAGCATTCCAGAGTGTTTTTTGTAAAAAAAAAAAAAATTCTCTTTATACGTCAAAGTATTCTGTTGTACGATAGTTGTAATACTTTGTTCGCTCTCTTTTTTTTTCTTCCTTTACTCGTCGAGGTTATTTCTAGATGCCTTTATTGAATGGAAATCTCTGAGCCTTACGAAGAACGTTGCAAATTTCAATTTCTTCTTAAGTACGTTTAATCGAGTTTAAGTGTAATGTTAATGTAGGCAGAAATGTAATTTGAAATTAAATTCGACGGAAAAGTATATGCGCGCGTATACGATAAAAGGTTCGGTTACATTTACTTTGTGTGTGTATGTGTGTGGCTCGTGTGAAAGAGAGACAGAAAAAAATAGTGTTAGTGGAAATCTCATAAAGACGAGTCAATTACAATTTCCTTACATTAGTAACTATCTCGTTATTTTCAACAATCAATAGTTTCATGCGGATTGAGTGGGGGAAAAGAGTAGAAACGACTCGGGAAATTATGTCTTCTCAAACTAAGTGTATTTTCAATTTTCATCCAATGAGTTGAACAAGAGTGGCTAAGACAGCTTTGGAATGGATAAAGTAGAGAGAAATAAGGGCATGAAAGCAGGTAACGATTCCTGCTACTCAAGAGCAGCGTAAAATTTAATCTAACTGCAGAAGATTAGTTTCCTGGTCAAATAAGAATCTGAAGATTTTTTTTTTTCTCTTCTTTTTTGCGCTTCTTTCCTGTTGGAAAGGAACTTTATTTTTCTCTCTTTTTTATTGTGAGGTTTATTATAATATTTTTATATAATTTTTTAGTTCCTTTTTTATTGTTTGTGATAAATTTTTTAAAGTTGGGAGATTTTTAAAAATTATTCCTGGATTTTTAGAAAATATTCTTTTTTTTGGAATATATATATACTCTATTCTTGAATTATTCAGAGGGGTTTGAAACATTTTAGAGACACGGCATGTCTAATTTGAAACTAAATATTCAACAGTCGGATAAACTAGTTAGAAGAAATTGATCAAAACAAAGGACCATTTGTGTGCTTGCAATTAGGTTTACAAACCAAACGGGTGTGTTTATATTTAGGCAAACAAGCTTTCAATTGTAAACCATAATAATATTGGCAAATAAATTTAAAAATTTCAAAATCTATTCTATTTTTATTAAGTACTATTTTTTTTTGGTTTCAGATTCAGTATTTTCAAAAGGTCAACTTGGGATATTTTTCAATTCACGAGAGTCCAGCATCTTTGGGAATGTTCAGACACATTCAGCTGAACGTAAGTTTTTTCTTTTTAGTATTCATAATAGTTTTACTATTTTTTATCCATCAAATCCTGTTTTTTGAAATATTACTTTTATATTTTTGTTTCAAAGTTTAAATGAAAATTAAGAATAGAATTTTCAAATTCTTGATTTTTGTTCATTTAAAACTTTGAGCTCTTATTTCTTTGCCATGTATATATAAAGATGAAAACTGTGAAATGTTTTTACTGATGATTTAAACAAGAGATAGGGGCACTCTATGTTTATTTAATAACCACGCGCCCAACTGCTAAATCCCTGCTGTGCTTACATAAGTATTCTTGTGTGCAAACTAGGAAGCTTTCGGTATGAAATGCAAATCGCGTTTACGAATAAATAACGTGAGTTAGTAATAAAAAGAGAAAAAAAAACAAGATTCCCTTTGATTATAATCTCAAAAATAAAAAAAAAAAAAAATTTCCTTTTTCTTCAAAAACAAAATTTAATTAAATCCGTCTGTTAGTAATTTTAATTTTTATTATATCGAACAAAAAAAATTTACAAGCGTATATCAAATTAAAAGAGAGAGAGAAAGAGGATATATACATGAAGTATTAAAAAGTAATATATTTAAAATTTATGATCGAATGGAGACTATTTAATTATTGGAAACATTGAATAATTTAACAACTTTTTCAACTACCTTGTATTTTAATATTCTGCAAAATTCATATTCATAAACTTTAACTCATTATACCTTTGATACAAAATATTTATTATAATTTTTCTCTAATAATTTTTATTTTTAATAAAAGAGTAATTAAATTTACTTCTAAAATGTACGACAGAAATTATTCAATTTGTTCAAGCCTTGTTCAAATAAAAAAAAAAAAAAAATTGTTAGGGGGGAATTTGCCCTTGTACTTTCAATACAATATTTAATTAATAGTGATAAAAGTAATCGAAAAATATACTCACAAATTGATCCCATCGTAGCCAGCACCAATTCCCACGTGATCGATTCCAGCCACTTTTCGTATATGGTTGATATGAGCTAGAAAAAAAATCAATTTTTTTTCTCTAAATTTAAAACAATTTTTTTTTTTTAATTCAATTTTAAAAATTTGTGATTATATGTGTTTCTTTCTTTTTCTTTTCGCAATGTAATGACTTTAGTTGAGTGAAATAAGGATATACAGGTTGTATATATATATAGTCTTCTTATACTTTTCCCGTTTCTTACTGTTATACTCATAAGTTTCGTTCCAACTCTTTTACATAAAAGACTCTTAAAAGGGTAAAAGCTCAAACCCAGCAAACTTTAATTACTTTTTTTTTTCTCAAAACTTCTTTTCATTTATATTTTAATTATTCATTGAAGGCACTTTCTGCGGAAAAAGTTATTTATCGACTTTGGTTTACCTTTTCTGATGAACAGTTAAATAAATCCTTTAAATAAGTATATTAGTTTAATAAATAATTGTCCGAGAATTAAAAAAAAAAGAGTGTGAGTGATTATTTCTTTAAAATAATTAATTTTTAAAAAATTATTTTTGGTAGGCAAGAAAGGTTTGAATTTGGCATTAAATAATTTTGTTTAATATACGTGCAAATTGTGGACGGAACAATAAAATTTTTTCCAAAGAAAAATGAATCAATTTTGGTTAACCAAATGTTTGGTTGTGCCAACTATAAAGTTTTGACAATCAAATTTTGTTGACGCAACAAAAAAATTGCACCGTATATTAGATAAAATGTTTTGTTGTAATTTCTCTGAAAAAAATTTATTTGAATCAAATAATCGGTTACTTATTATCAAATAAATATTTACCCAAATAATTTTTGAAATCAAATAATTGAACTGTATTTGAAGCAATAATTTCTGTATTTGAAACAAATACTATTTAGTTGACTTAATATAATTATGTAATACAAATAAATATTTATTTGATAAAAATCGATTATTTGAATCAAATAATTTTTTTTTCACACTGTATGCAATGTGAGGAATCTTATATTTTTTTTAGATGAAATATATGATCTTTGTAATCTAAACATCATTAGGGATTGATTTACTAAACATTAGCAACGAGCTTAATTGATATTGTATATGAAAATTATTAATGTTCAATGATATTGAAATGTTGCTTTGAGATATACATGTATGTATATTGATGAGATAATGTTAGAGCATACCGTTCGCATAATTTTCCCTATATTCAAGTAAACATTATATTCGAGCACGGTCCATAATCTCGTGGTTGATCCCGTAATTTCACGATGTGACTAATCGACTGAAGTTCCGCTTCCACATCGACATTGTCATTTATGGGAGGGATTGCTCATTATAAATTTTCCAATTCTCTTATAAAGCCAACCGCCACAAAATATTCGTTTTTTTTATAATTATTTATTCTTTTAATAATTCAAATTATTAAAAAAAAATTTTTTATTATTTTTTCTTTTAATATTTCAAATTTTCTATGAATTTATTTATTTTAATAATTTAAAAAAAAAATTTTATTTAAAAATTGTATTTTATTTATTGGAAACATTTTAATTTAATTACCTTAAGGGTTTGTTTTTGTTAAAAATAGAAATTTTGAATTTTTGCTCAAATAGACAAAATTTTTTTATTACAATAAATAATTTATGGAATATAATTTTTTTTTTTCATGACAATGTAATCTGTCTGTTATTTTTCCCATTCATAAGCAATATTTTAATCGGTTGATTGGGAATATTGATTGTGAAAAATCGGGATATCGACACGCTGATATGGTTCACTAAGCGCGAAAGAATTATAAGCTCAGTGTTGCATGAATTATTGCTGGGATGAACTGTGCAATTTACCTTCTACATATGAATTGAATATACGTGCGAAAGATTTTTATTTACGGTCAGTTGACAATTATTGATCTCGTATGAGGGGAAAAAGTAAAATTTTTATAAATGTTTATAGGATTCACTATAATATTTTTATAATATTTTCCTTTTTTTTTGGCGATACAAATTTTGTTCAAGATCGTTTTTTTAAATCAGATTTAAAAAAAAATAGTTCCTTTTACAAATAATAATTATATACTGAAATTTGAGGCGCGAAAAATCTTCTCGTTAACTACCGCAAGATTTTTGAGTGCCATATTGCCGTCTCGCTTTCTTTACTTTGCCACATTTCTTTTTTGGTTAAATCTCTCTCACTCTTCTCTCTTCAATTACTTCTTACTCTTCACATAGGTTCAGAGTTTTTATGGAGACTGAATCACGGACGTTTTTGTATTTTTTTTTTCGCGGGACGAAAAGGATAAGGGTCGCTTTTGCGCGGAGTGAAAGGGAGATTAAAAGCTATTTGTCAGTTAACAGAACGTGCAAAAAAAATCTCACCAGCTACGTCTTCTAGCGTAGACTTTTCACCACAGCTGATGAAATATGGGTAGAATGATACCATTACTATGCCACCTGATTGTGCCTGTAAAAAAAGTAAATTTTTTCCAAAATTATTATTTTTTCGGTAATGTTAGGCTTTATATAATTTAATTATTTAAATTAAATTTTGATAATTGCGTTTGTTAACATTGAATCATGAAAAAAATATTCTAAAATTAAAAATATAAAATTGGGATAAATTCACTTTGATTTGAAAATTGTAGCTATTGCTGAAAGTTTGACTGACTTAAATTGACTTTTACTACTTGCGACAAAATTAAAGTCATTTTGATAATCTGTGTCTGACCAAAACCGAATTCTACTACTTATTTCTGAATTACAAGAATTTAGAAAAAACTCTGTCTGACTAAAACATACTCTAACTACTGATTTAAAAATTAATTATATTCGTAAACGCGTGTCTGACTAATACCGAATTATACTACTGATTTCTAAATTATATATAAATAAATAAAATAAGAATTTGAGAATATTTTTTTCTGATGCAATTTTTAACAATTTATTTTCCTATTTACTATTTTTATTTTTATTTACTTAATATTCACTTTGATTTGAAAATTGTAGCTATTGCTGAAAGTTTGACTGACTTAAATTGACTTTTACTACTTGTGACAAAATTACAGAAATTTTTATAAGTTGTGTCTGATTAAAACCGGCTTTCACTACTTATTCCTGAATTATAAGAATGACTGAAACATACTTTAACTACTGAAAATCATTGGCTTACACTGCAAAACGAAAGGTATTATTTTAATACCAACTTTAGGTACTAAATTGTCATTTGGTTCTACTTTAATACCTAAAAGTGGTACTATTTTAGTACTTTTTTTTACAGTGTAAATTTTGTCTGACTCGAAACTGACTTTACTACTTATAAATATAAATATTATATATTTAATAAAAATTATTATTGTTATACGTAGTGTAAATAGACTTTATTGCTTTCTCCTCCTAGAAAGTATTAGTCTGACTTAAATTGACTTTTACTACTTGCGGCAAAATTAAAGTCATTTTGGTGTCTGACTAAAACCGAATTTTACTACTTATTTCTGAATTATAAGAATTGAGAAAAAATTCTGTCTGACTAAAACATACTACTGATTTAAAAATTACTTATATTCCTAAATGCGTGTCTGACTAATACCGACTTATACTACTGATTTCTAAATTATATAATAATTAAATAAATAAAATAAGAATTTGAGAATATTTTTTTCTGATGCAATTTTTAACAATTTTTTTTCCTATTTACTATTTTTATTTTTATTTACTTAATATTTAATTTGTATAAATTAAATAATAGTTTGCATAAATTAAATAATAATTCGTCTAAATTCAATAATAATTTGTATAAATTAATTATTAATTTGTATAAATTAAATGTCAATTTATACGAATTAAATAATAATTTGCTTAAATTAAATGTTATAATTTGTACAAATTAAATATTAATTTCCACAAATTAAATATTCACCAATTCAGAAATCAATGAAAAAGAGAATAAAAAGGATTTTTTGATATTCTATTTTTTTTTTCTCAAATATAATATATTATATATATATATAAATTTTCTAGAAGAATTCTGAGAGAATTGCGAGCGTATATAACATATAAAAATCTCTCCTTTAAAAGAACTATGCGGTTTGCCAAAGAAAAAAAGTTGTGCACATCTGTGTGTGCGCTTTTGAAGTTGAAAAGGATTCTCTGAGCCCTTATTTGCATAGGTTTAAAGTTACTTTTCTCTCGCGCACGCCAACTTACCAAAAGACGTAATGCGTGGTCTGGTACATTTCTTGAGGAATTACAGAGGGCGTGAGCGCTACTATGACTAAAGATCACTGGAGCTTTTGATGTGCTCATGGCATCTAACATTGTGGGCACCGATACGTGTGATAAATCCACCATCATTCCCAGTCTATTCATCTCCTGGACGACGCTCTGAATAAGAAACAAACAAAAAAAAAAAAAAAAAAGACAAAGAATCTTTTGTTAGTGACAAGAATGATTTTTTTTTTCGTGAACGCCAAGAATGAGGGATAAAATGTGAAACAATCATTTAAAAAAAAAAGAGAGAGAGAAAAGAGTGTTTGCGGAGGTTTTAGATTTACGTTGGTATGCTGCATTATAAACCCATGTTACAAGTCTTGACACCTATTGGCCCGAAACACGACGCAGGAGATTGTGCTTTTTTTTCTTTCTTTTCTTCTTCTTATTTTTCTTGTTTTTTCTTATTCTACTCTTTTCTGTGCTTGATATCCAACTTTCTGCAAGAATTTCAATGTTCTTTGCGTTTTGTAAATTTCTTTTTTGTTTTTGAAGTCGCAACGTGTATAACATTCTTGAATATTTGAAACAGGAGAGGGGGAGTCATTTAGAGTACGTTAGAAGAAGTGGAAAAAAATTTTGTGGTCAAAAAATATCTGCTCTTTAAAAAATAAAGTTAATTTGTTAGAAAAGAATTTAAAAATAATTAATATTATCGTTTTACTCTCTAAATTGGAATTGGTAAATTTTTTTAACTTGTTTGAATTAGTGACTTTTGCTTCAGAATTAGCTGAATTTTACTAATTTGATCTGTAAATAATTTTTTTTTACTATTAATTAGTTATAGTTTAATAATTCATAAGGAAAAAGCAAACTAATTAAAATTAGTTAAAATTTTTATTAATTCAGATTTAGAGAGTAAATTAGTTAAAAATAACTAATCGTTAGTCAAATGTTGGCTATTTATTTTAATAATTATTAAAAAAGAAATTTTTATTTGTAAAAAAAACTAATTTTTAGTAGAAAAAAATAAACAAAGAATAATAGAATTAGTTGTAAATAAATAATTGTTAGTAAAATATTGCAAATTTTTGTTTTCAACAATTAGTTGTGGTCAAAAAATATTCGCTCTTTAAAAAATAAAGTTAGTTTGTTAAAAAAAGAATTTAAAAATAATTAATATTATCGTTTTACTCTCTAAATTGGAATTGGTAAATTTTTTTAACTAGTTTGAATTAGTGACTTTTGCTTCAGAATTTGCTAAATTTTACTAATTTGATCTGTAAAAAAATTTTTTTCCACTATTAATTGGTTATAGTTTAATAATTCATAAGGAAAAAGCAAACTAATTCAAATTAGTTAAAATTTCTATTAATTCAGATTTAAAGAGTAAATTAGTTAAAAATAACTAATCGTTAGTCAAATGTTGGCTATTTATTTTAATAATTATTAAAAAAGAAATTTTTATTTGTAAAAAAAACTAATTTTTAGTAGAAAAAAATAAACAAAGAATAATAGAATTAGTTGTAAATAAATAATTGTTAGTAAAATATTGCAAATTTTTGTTTTCAACAATTAGTTAAAAAATGAAGTAATTATTAGTAAAAAGTAACTAATTTTTAGTAGAAAAATAATTTGTAAAAAATATAGACAAATTCGACTAATTGAACTAATTTCAAATAACTAAATTGTTATTAAAATATAGGGTGATTATTTGTTTCAATAATTAGTAAAAAAATAATTATTAGTAAGAAGTAGCTAATTTTTAGTAGAAAAATAATTAGAAAAAATAAACAAATTCGACTAATTGAATTAGTTATAAGTACTCTCTAAATCTGAATTAGTAAAAAAGTTTACTAATTTGAATTAGTGACTCACTTTTTGCTTCTCAATTAGTAAAATTTTACTAATTATTAGTAACTTTAACTAACAATTAGTAAAATTTAACTAATTATAAAGCAAAAAGTAAGTCACTATTTTAAATTAGTAAACATTTTTACTAATTCAGATTTAGAGAGTAAATAGTTAGTAAAATGTTTGCTATTTAGTTTAATATTTAGTAAAAAAAAGGAAATAATTATAAGTTAAATGTAGATTTTTGATAGAAAAAAATAATTTTAAAAAAAGCTAAATTTGACTAATTGAATGAGTTAGAAATTTTAGTTATTTTGACTGAAATTAGTAGGTAGAAATTTAAATTATCTTGAATTAGTAACTAACTGCTATGAATTAGCGAATTTTTTTTTTCGACTAATTGACAGTAAAATTTATTTAAATCTAACTAATAGCAGTTAGTCCCTAATTTAAATTAGACTCTAAAACAGAAATAAAACTCAATTGCTTCAAAAAATATATATAAAAATAACTTTAGTTTTCTCTTCGTTTAAGAAAAAAAAACAATCTGAAATTTCATACGTTTGCAAAAAAAAAAAAGTAGAATTTTTTTCGAGTTGTTAGTAAACACGTATACGTTGATGCCTGATTTATTTATTCTTTTTGTGCATGCATAATTTTGCTAACAGTAAAAATGGCGAAAAGGTGCTTGACGCTCGTTAGCAAGATGTTCGTGTGTGTATAGACCACCCCCTTCCCCTATCTTTTTTTTTAACTCTTTATATGCGTTTCTCGAAGCGCTCAAGGCTATAGAGAGAAAGAGAGAGAGAGTAGTGTGTAGCTTTGAGATAAATATTTTCCCAAGCAAGGAAATATACAAAGTTGAATATGAATATGATTTAAAAATAATTAAACCTCATTGTTCTCTATACCGAATTCGTAGAAGGGTGGGGGGGGGGTGATTTTTTTTTACATTTTTTGTAGTATAAAATTGTTTCAAAAATTTTTCAATGCATTCTTGAAATTTATGAAAGCATCTGGTTCATACTTTCTCTCTTCCTCTCTGTCTGGTATTATAAAAAAGTTCTCGTTTCTCTCTATATATATATGACAATGTGTGATAAAGTATTTGCATACTTTTAGAGCATTTTTCATTTAATAATACCACTATTTTCGTAATCTGTTTGGATATAAATGCGTAGAAATAACTTTAAAAATATTATTTCGACAAAATGTTGTATAAAAAAAAACTTGAATATGAGTTAAATATCGTGGTTTTTGAATTGATATCTTGTTTTAAATTAATCTCTATTTTAGTGCTTTATTTATTTTTTTTTAATTAGTTAGTTTTTTATTTATTTCTCTTTTATTTCTTTTTTTATTTATTTATTTTTATTTTATTTATTTATTTACAAAATCAGTTTATATTTTCAAAAAGTAATTTAATATATAATTATGAAATTTTCTATTTTTTTGATAATTTTAGAAACGTTAAAATTATTTTCTGCTGGCGAAATTTTTATTTTGTAAAAAAAAGTTTGGAAAATTATGCCTGACAATGTAAAAAATGTATACTACTTAAAATAGGATGTTTTTTTCTTGCACGATGACTATTGTTTCTCATATTTTCTTTTGTTCTATTTTTTTTTTAATTTTACAATTTTGGTTTTTAAATTTGCGAGGCAAGCATTTGAAATTTTTTTTCTCTTCCTGAAACATTTTTTTTTTAATTATTTTTTTATTTAGTCATATGACTCAACGCATAAATATTGCATGCTCATATATGTGGTCTTTTTATTTTAAATGTATATATCATGTGAAAAATTATGCGTTCATATTCATTTCCATTCGTACAGCAAATAAAGCAAAAACGTTTCTTTCAAAAAAAAAAAAAAAACGAATTATTTATTTTTCGCAAAAAACGAAATATTCTCTCAAAATCCTAATTTTTTTTATTTCATTTTATTTTAATTTTTTTATTTTATTTTAATTTATATTTATAATTATTTTAATTTTTTAATCAGAATATTTTTTTCTTGCAATTTTAGTAAAAAAAAAAATCTCTTAAGTTGGATGAATGCTGCTCTATCATTCAAAACTTTATCACACATTTTTGGCTTATTCGCGGTGAATATGTGTTTTGAGTAGATGTCTTTTTCATATATATATGTATTTGTGAAAAGAACGCATTTCCTCTTGTGGGATTAACTTCCGCGCGTCTTAGATGTGGGGGGGGGGGGTGTGTGTGAAAGAGGATATCTAAGTGACAAGGACTGAAAGCTTTTTGTCGTTTAGAGGTAATAATTTGATTGACGTTCTCTTTGGCGCCATATTTGTCCATATAACATGAGCTACCCTTTGCGAGCTATTTCCTTTTCTTTCACTGCCAAAATTGCTTGGCCTCATTCATGAATAGCGATGCCGGATTTTGCGATATATATGTATATACAAAAGTCTCGAGACAGAATGACAGATGCGACTTTACTATCTTGTGCTTTACGCGCGCGAAAAGAGGATATTCATTGAATTGAAAAATGGTATAAGAATGTTTTCATCGCCACAGTCATATACTTGAAATTAATCAATCTTATTCATCATCTAAAACAGAGAGGGATTTTCAGGGTTTTTGAGAAAAAGAAAAATACTTCAACCGATCTTAATTTTTTTTCTTTACTGTTTTTATTCAGACAATGAAAATTTTTTTGAAGCAAATAAAAATATATTTTCTAAATCTGAATTAGTAAAAATGTTTACTAATTTGAATTAGTGACTCACTTTTTGCTTCTGAATTAGTAAAATTTTTACTAAGTATTAGTAACTTTTACTAACAATTAGTAAAATTTTACTAATTATTAGTAACTTTTACTAACAATTAGTAAAATTTTACTAATTCAGAAGCAAAAAGTGAGTCACTAATTCAAATTAGTAAACATTTTTACTAGTGACTCACTTTTTGCTTCTGAATTAGTAAAATTTTACTAATTATTAGTAACTTTTACTAACAATTAGTAAAATTTTACTAATTATTAGTAACTTTTACTAATAATTCGTAAAATTTTCCTAATATTTAGTAACTTTTACTAAAAATTAGTAAAATTTTATTAATTCAGAAGCAAAAAGTGAGTCACTAATTCAAATTAGTAAACATTTTTACTAGTGACTCACTTTTTGCTTCTGAATTAGTAAAATTTTACTAATTATTAGTAACTTTTACTAACAATTAGTAAAAATTTTCCTAATATTTAGTAACTTTTACTAAAAATTAGTAAAATTTTACTAATTCAGAAGCAAAAAGTGAGTCACTAATTCAAATTAGTAAACATTTTTACTAGTGACTCACT